TTTTCCCTATGCTGCAGGCAGCCACCAGCGGCAAACTGCTCGTTGGCTGGGTTTGCGAAGGCCACACATTCCGCTGGGTGGCTCTTCTCTGTTTGTTTGTAACATGATAACTTTTGAATGGTGCACCCAATCCATTCCAAAATGTCAGGGAATGTTCTAGGCATCCCTGGCCAGAATTCTATCGATTTTGGGGGGAAATCGGACAAAAATGAAAAAGGAACAATGTGAGACAGGTGAGTCCCCTGCCATCTAATTAGCACAGCCATAGAGAGGTGGGGAAATGGGTGGGTGGAATGGAAGCACAAACACCCTTGCTGTGGAGAGGAAAATGGGGGGAGGAGGAATGGAGAGCACACAAAAGCGTGTGTGTGTGCGTGTGTGTGTGTGTATTTTGGAGGATGGAATGTGGGGCACACAGGAAAGGGGGGAGTTGTCCCTGACAAAGAGGGAGATGGAAGGGTGGTACAGAGGCAGCGTGCGCGGTGAAGGATTCAAGGAGCCCCAAGTCTGTGCAGGGAACTTGTGCAGTGGCCTACACCAGCTATGAAGTGTGTGACCCGCTAGTAACCATTTTCAGTGCGATACAATGGCTAATAGTTTTGGCTTAATCGTGATGTTTTTCCAACATGGGTGGTGCGTGAGTTTCCGAGGAGATTTAACTCTGTGCCAAATTGCCAGGGGGTCACAACCAACTGCTTCAGAGCTAGCGAGACCCCAAGGGCCTTAGAACCAAACCAGCATTTCCAGCCCGGGGCCCATTTTTCAAACGATCTGTTACCTGGAATGAATGTAATCAATTTTCTTCAAACGTTGCAGCAATGTTCGCCTTCGCCGTCAGCAGTAACCTGCCTACTCACAGCTCAAACCAATTCTGCTCAGCTGAGTTCTGGGGGTAAGGGTTGTCGTGCCGTAGTGCAAGAGCGATGGGAGAAACAGATCAATACAAGATTGGGGTATTGTGGGCCTCAAGCAGAACCTTTGTAGCACCCCAGAAATGCAATATTGCATTAGCACACAGAGAGGCAAGAACCCTGAAAGTGAGGACGAGCAGGGCGTGGATTTGAAGGAGTGGGGAGGAGTGATGTCAGCTTGACAGGCCAGGAAGAGACATGGGTTTGGACAGAGCCCCGTGGGACCCCCACTGAAAGTGGGAAAGGACCTGCCAAAAGAGCGGCTGGTGCAGTGACCATAGGCAGAGGAGAGAGGAGGACCGCAGAGGATGGTATCTGAAAGGCCAGGAGAAGAAGGACGAGGATGTGAGCGGCGGAGAGGAGACATAGGACAAGGACGGAGGATGGCTGAGGCTGCTCGAGACCAAGTGCGAACAGTCTCAGTGGGGTAGAGAGGGTGGAAGCTGGACTTAGGGAGGAGAGGTCCAGGCTGGCGCTGGATGGGAGGGCCCTGAGGCAGCAGCTGTAGATGGTGTGTTAGATGAACTTAGCAATGAGAAGCATGGGCAGTGGGTGGAGCCCCCTTTTGGGGAGGCGAGCCCGCAATTCCACCCCTTCCGCCCGCCCCCTGGCAGCCAGAGCCCCGAGCCCCCCTGTCTCCCCGCAGCCGGAGCCACAAGCCTCCCACCCGGAGAAGGCCTGAGCCCACCCACCCCCCTCATCTGGAGGCTGCCTGAAGCCCCAAGACCGCCCCCCCCCACACCTGCTCGGAGGAGCCCGGGCTGGCTGAAGCTGGAGTGTCCCCCCACCCCCCTTGGCCGGAGGAGCTCTGGGCCATCCGAAGCCCCGACCCCCTCCCCCAAGTGCCCAGAGGAGCCCTGGGCCAGCTGCAGCCGCACCTCCCCTGCCCTCCCCTCCCCAGACCCAAGCCACCGCGGGGAAAGGGTCTCTTCAAAGACACTTTTGATATGTCCCATGCAGTTTCCGGGGCGGCTGAGGAGGCGGTATGTGCTACTCAGCTTCCTGGGCTCCTCAGTCATCTCCTTGGAGTGGAGGGAGATGACTGAGGAACCCAGGACGCTGAATAGCACATGCTGCCTCATCAGCCACCCCAACACATGCATGGGGCATTATAAAGCAAAAACTTCGCCCCCAAACCCCGCAACCGGGGATCTGGCAGCCTCCCCTGGCCTATTATACCTGCCGCCCATGGTGAGAAGGGAGACGGGGCAGCAACTGGGAGGCCGGGGATGTGGTGGGGAGGGACGTGGAAGAGGTGAGCAGGAGGCAGAGGAGAGTGAGAGGCCGAGGAGGGGGAGGGAAAAGAGGAGAGATGTCAGCGGCCCTGAGGGGCAGGAAAAGGGGTCAGATGGAGGAGAGCAGGGGAGAGACCTCGGTGTGGGAAGAGGGAAAGGTGTTAGAGGGGCTGGAATGGGCGTGGGGGGTGGCGCAGCAGATCTCATTGATTTTCTCTTGGGAAGAATCAGCCTGCATTGGATGGAGGGGGAGGAAATGTGGGCTACAGAACGGGGGCTTGTGTGACCCGGACGGAGCTCTGGGCGAGGTTACCGTCCATATGGGACGCGCCGTCTCTGGGAAACGCTTTCCAGAGCAGCAGCTCCTTCCCAGGGGATCCCATCAGCCCAGCACACTTCCTGTGCCTCAAGCTCCACGAAATCAACAGCCCCGATGCTACACCCCTTCCCTGCCCCCACCACTGCCAGCTCCGCTCGGCATCTCACAAATGCCTTGTGTTCGGAGGAGGCGACGGGGTCCTGGCTGGGCAAACAGGTCATTGGCTGGGGGAGAAGCCCTGACCCTCACGGGGCAGTGGGGCGGGAGGAAATTGGAGCAGATGTGAGGGCGGGAGCAGCAGGGCTGGAGCCAGTTTGGGAGCTACGCAGATAACCGCAGTCGGGTCCTGTCCTCAGTGCAGACAGCAGAGAGCTGGCTTCTTCTGAGCGCTCTGGGACAGCAGCCCTGGGAAGTGGGGATGGCGGGTGAGGAAAGGAGGTTCTTTTTTCCCCATCCAGGGCGTAGCAAACTTCCCAGCGTCCTGCATTAGGCAGATCCAAATGGACTCAGCAATGGCCAGGTATTGCCCCCTCCCTCTGCCCCAGGGACAGAAGAGAAAATGCCCCTCCATGAGTAATCACAGGAGGAATATTGTACCTGTTAGATCAGCGGCGCTTGTCACACGGCTGGTAGCGTCCCGCATGTCTGACTGTGTCTAGCGATGAGTGAGACGGACGGACAGGTTGTGTGGATTTATTGGTGACTCTCCACTTCCAGCAGTTGTTATGTCAGGGAGAAATTACAAGGAGCATGTGAAGGGGGGAGGGGTTTAACATGCAGCGTTTTGAGAGCGCAAAAGTTGAAGACTGAGAAAAATCTGCCCCAAAAGTTTGAAAACAAAAGTTTGCTGAGAGCGAGTCAAGTGGGTTTTTTACCCACGAAAGCTTATGCCCAAATAAATCTGTTGGTCTTTAAGGTGCCACTGGACTCCTTGTTGTGTTTGTGGATACAGACTAACGCAGCTACCCCTGATATTACCATAGGCGCCAACTTCTCCTGGCGCCGGTGGGTGCTTGCCCTGCCCCAACTCCACCCTTGCCCTGTCCCCATTCCAACCCTTTCCCCAAAGACCCCGCCCCAACTCTGCCCCCTCCCTGCCCCTATTGGACTCCTTCCCCAAATCCCTGCCTCCTCCCCTGAGCGTGCCACGTTCCCGCTACTCCCCCCTCCTTCCCCCAGCTCCTTAGGCTGTGGCAGCAAGCGCTGGGAGGAGAAGCAGGGACAAGGCGTGCTCAGAGAGGAGGCGGAGGCAGAGGTGAGCTGGGGTGGGGAGTTTGGTTGCCGGTGGGTGCAGAGCACCCACCCATTCCCATGGAGTTGGTGCCTGGGGATACTAGTCAATTAATGACATAGGATGTCTTCCTACCCTCCTTACAAATGTGAAAGTAAACCATATGTACCTAGACCTGGGCAAAAAAGCTACGTTTTTGCCATGAAAAAATTTGGTTCATGTTTTTAGATTGAAAAGTTCCACTTCTTTCCCCAAAGGGAGTTCAGAACTGTTTCAAAATGGAAATGTTTATTCAAATCGCCACTTTAAAATTAAATGACAATTTTCATTTCATTTCAACTTAAAATATAGGGGTGAGAGCAAAAAATGGAGGTGAGGGTGGGGTTGGTTCTTTTTCCCCCTTCTGTTTAAAAAAGACCTAAACAACATTTTAAGTGGAAATGGAATTTGAGTTTTCAAACTGACATTTCAGCATAAAATATTGTTCTGATTTGCTTTTTTCCCCCAAACCAAAAATGTGAAACAAAATGACATTTTAAGGCACTTGGAAATGAACATGGATTTTGATATTTATGGTGGAAAAATAGAAAATTTTCACTGGAATTGACACTGCAAAAAAATCAGTTTTGATGGAACCCTATATTTCAGCAAGAAAACTTTCTGCCCTCACTGTTTTAATGAGTGTTGTTTTGTGTCTGATATTTACATGGTGAGAATTTGTAAACCGGCTAAAACTTCTTAAATGAATAGACAAAAAACGTCAATTGGCTTTACTCGTACCCTGGAGTGGGGCTGCCTCTCCCCCCCACCTCCCCAACCCCTCACCCTTAACATATCCTAGATACACTCATGGAGGATGGGAGGGTAGGCAGGGATGATGTGAAGTGAGCTGTAGCTCACGAAAGCTTATGCTCAAATAAATTGGTTAGTCTCTAAGGTGCCACAAGTACTCCTTTCCCTAGCCTCTGTTTACCAGAAGCTGGGAATGGGCGACAGGGGATGGATCGCTGGATGATTCCCTGTTCTGTTCATTGCCTCTGGGGAACCTGGCACTGGCCACTGTCAGAAGACAGGATACTGGGCTAGATGGACTATTGGCCTGACCTAGTATGTCCGTTCTTATGTTCTCCCTGTTTGTCCCACTCAGTTTCCTTCTCTTATGTAATAAGCATTGTCTGGCATTTGCATTGCAGTGTCTCTCTTATTGTAAGAATAAAAGATTCTTGCCCAGAGTGGGCCGACCGCTGAGGTTCTACCCCAGTTGACAGCATCTTTTGCCTTAACCATACATCTCGTCTCTTTAGGAAGAAGACGATCTACAAAAGTGTCTGCCTGTCCTTTGTGCTGGTGATCATGGTGACAGTGCTGCAGAGGGGGATGACTCCTAGCCATTTCATGCCAGGCCAGCAGCAGAAAGAATTGCACCAAGAGCCTGTGAAAGCTCAGAAGAGAGATGACATCTTCTCCAAGACCGGCCACTTCTGGAAGAGCAAGATGGAGAAGACCCACCTGGAGGCGGAGGGAGTCACTGAGAACCAGGTGAAATCCTGGGATGTCACCATTATCAATTGCACGGCCAACCAGAACATGAGCAAGATGGACTGGTTCAAGGGGCTGGAGCCCAACTTTCAGCAGTTCCTGCTTTACCGGCATTGTAGGTACTTTCCCATGCTGATCAACCACCCAGAGAAGTGCAGGGGTGACATTTACCTGCTGATTGTGGTCAAGTCCATCATCACGCAGCACGACCGGCGGGAGGCCATTCGAAGGACCTGGGGCCAAGAGAAGGAGGTGGATGGGAAAAAGATCAAGACTCTCTTTCTGCTGGGCACGGCCTCCAAAGAAGAAGAGAGGGCCAATTACCAGAAGCTGCTGGATTATGAGAACCACATCTATGGGGATATCCTACAATGGGATTTCCTGGACAGTTTCTTCAACCTCACCCTCAAGGAGGTCCATTTCTTAAAGTGGCTCAACATCTACTGTGACAGCATTCGCTATATCTTCAAGGGGGATGACGACGTCTTCGTCAGCCCCAGCAACATTCTGGAGTTCCTGGAGAACAAAAAGGAAGGAGACCTCTTTGTGGGAGACGTCCTGTACAAGGCAAGGCCGATCCGGAAGAAAGAGAACAAGTACTACATCCCCAGCGCCCTCTACAACAAGAACAATTACCCACCCTATGCGGGTGGTGGTGGTTTCCTCATGGACGGGCCCCTGGCCATAAAGCTCCACAAGGCCTCAGAGACCTTGGAGCTGTACCCCATTGATGACGTCTTCCTGGGGATGTGCCTGGAGGTCCTCAAGGTGGAGCCAGTCAGACACGAGGGCTTCAAGACCTTCGGCATTGTGAAGAACAAGAACAGCAAGATGAACAAGGAGCCGTGTTTCTACCGGGACATGATGGTTGTTCACAAACTGTTGCCCCTGGAGCTGCTCCAGATGTGGAGCCTGGTCCACAGTAACTTAACCTGCTCCAGAAAGCTCAACGTCCTTTAGCGTGTGGCTTCCCTGAGGAGCTGCGTCAGGAAGGGCTGGAGCAGCTGGAACCTTGTCCTGCAGGGCGAGGGGAAAGAACCTAGAACCAGATGAAGGCAACAAACTGTTTTGGGACTACTCCAGAGCCTTCCCTTCCGGCAACGAGAGAAGAGAGACTGTGTTCGGGGGGAGGGAAGGTTTCTAATGGGGTACTTTTGTACTGTACTGCGTTTTTTTTATCCCCAACTGGGTTGGGGAGTCACTGAAAAAGAAAAAGGAGAATGAGAGAAAAGAAAAAGAGAGAGAGAATGGGGATCATCTTGGGGGAAACTTCTGGATGACACATTTCAGGAAAGATGTGGTCAAATTGGAAAAAGTCCAGAGAAGAGCAATAAATATTATAAAAGGTCTAGAAAACATGACCTAGGAGGGAAGATTGAAAAAGTTGGGTTTGTTTAGTCTGGAGAAGAGAAGACTGAGAGGGGACATGATATGTTTTCAAGTACATAAATGGTTGTTACAAGGAGGAGGGAGAAAAATTGTTATCGTTAACCTCTGAGGATACGAGAAAAAGCAATGGTCTTAAATTGCAGTAAGGGTGGTTTAGGTTGGACATTTAGGAAAAAACTTCCTGTCAGGGTTGTTAAGCACTGGAATAAACTGCCCAGGGAGGCTGTGGAATCTCCAACACTGGGGATTTTTAAGAGCAGGTTAGACAAACACCTGTCCGGGATGGTCTAGATAATACTTAGTCCTACCCTGAGTGCAGGGGACCGGACTAGACGACCTCTCGAGGTCCCTTCCAGTCCTATGATTCTGACTGAATGGCACATGCCCTGCCCTGCAGCGTCCCTGTGTCATCCTCTTGCCTGGGAGCCCCTGAACAGAGGAATGCACCTGGTGTGAATTCCTCAAAGATTTCTCTCTCCTAGGGGGAAGGAGATGGGGGATTGCGAATTTCAAAACAAGCACACAGTGAATCGCAATTTGGTCTGGCCAGCGCAGTTGCACGCTGCCCCAGAACAATAGTCTGCAGCCACCCCCATTCTAAGGCTTCATTTGCCTATGGCTCATCATCGCCTTGGACAAGTACCCTTCAACTGCTGGTCACACCGTTGTCTCTCCAGCCAAAGGCACAGTCTGGAGTCGGCTACCCCTCCCCCTAGCGTTGCCAATTTTGGTTGGCTGTGTTCCTGAAGGTTTCATCACATGACATAATCTTTAAATGAAGATTAATCTTTAAGTCCTGGAGACTCCAGGACAATCCCGGCCCCGGCCCCGGCCCCGGCCCCAGGAGACATGACCCTCCCCGCCCCGGTGGGCGTGGTGCCACCCCTGAGCTTTGTGATGCTAGTTCCACGGAGGGTTTTCCTTTCCCTCCCTGTGCCAGCGGCCGTGGCCCCAGAGACTCTCTGAGGACACTGCCAGCGGCCTGACAGTGGCACCGTTCCGGGGGGGACTGTAGCCAAGGGCGGGAGGCCAGTTCGTGGGCAGCCGTGCAACCACGGCAACGGGTGCTAGGCTTCTCTCCCACCTGAGCAGAGGGCAGGCTGGAGTCGGGGCTGGAGGTCTACAGCCCCACCCTGGGCCCTCAGTGGAGGGCGGGAATGGGACAGTCTGTTCTAGGTAGAAGTCAACATTGGGGTTAACCCCAGCGCCAGGAAAACCTGCCTTGAAAGGTCCACTGGTAACACTCCAGCAGGCAGCAACACACCTGCTGCAGGAATACACATGACCATGCACCCCCACCCGTTACACCTGCAAAGACACAGCTACATCCGTGCACACGCGGGTGTACAGACATGTCCACGCACAGCCCCACAGTGAGATGCACATATACACATGCACAGGCATGGCTCACAGATGTCACGCAGTCCTGTACACGCAGGCGTGCTCATGTACATACACGGGCCAGAGCAAAGCCGTCGGTGTGAGCATAGCACGTTGCAGCATAGACACAACGGGACATGGATGTGTGCGCACTCACGGATGGGTGAGCACACAGCCTCATATGTACCCCGAGCACGCAGAGAGAAACACACCCTCTCTCCCTGGTGCCAGCCATTGAAAGGAAAGTACTCCTACTACCTCAAAGGTCCCCCTGTGCAGCACCTTTTGAATGTGGCCTGGAAACGTGCCGGTTTCATTCACTCCAAGTCTGTACGTTCCCCAGGTTAGAAAACAAACAAGAAAGGAGAAAAGCCAGCCAAAAAAGCCAACTTCATGCCAGGTCTCGCCACTTACCCTTGGCCTGTGCCCACCTTCTGCTCAAATGCCTTGCACATTTGGAAGTGGGGGGTTGGGGAGGGGGGAGACGCAGGAAATCCAGCGCTGTTGAGTTTGGAACTAGACGGGTAGGCAGACAGCCTGCTAGGATTTGGTCCGGAAAATTTGTGCTTTACTTAGTTACTGTGAACTTTTATTTAAGCTTTAAGGGTTTTATTTTGTGGTGGGGGAGGGCGGAAAAGGAAAGGGGCTGGAAATGGACAAATCCACCCCCCCCACTCCACCCCCTAACAAAATCGTGCAAGTTCCACTCCCACACCGTCCCCGTCCCCGTCCCGTGTGCAAACGCACTGCGTGTCTGACGGTGAACGGCAGATGCACAGTGTCTCCCCTACCCGTCTCCCTGCAGAATCCAGAGGCCTCCTTCAGGGAGCGCTATTTCCGAACGAACGTCCACACGTCCACTCTCGCTATACATATCTGTGTAATGTATGTCTGGGTCCAGTATCTATGTATGTCTATTTATAGGGTATACCGTAGACAGGTATGTATCATGTGCATGTGTAAGGCGAGTATTGACTGTGTACGTGAACATTTCAAGGTTGCTTTTTGCCGTGGTGGGAGCTGTACAGACAAATATGGTAGGTCTAGGACATTTAGTTTCTAAATAAAGGGTTTTTTTAAAAAAATCACCTTCACTATTTCCTAGCAGCTGGGGCTGCTGCGGGGTCAGCGGGGACCATGGATGTGTCTCACGGGAAACAATTTTGCCTAGAGTTGACCTGTGACTTGTGGTCCTGCAGATTTGATCTCCGACCTCCGATCTTGGCATCACAATGGTTTGGCTCGGCCCAAGAGAGCCCCACTCCCTGACGGTCACCACCCTAGATACTGTGCTGTATCTGCTGCTGATGCGCAACTGTGCGGCTAACCGGGCGCAGCCGCGAGTATCAGTCCCAACCCCTAGTTTGAGACCCACTGCACTAAACCCATGTCTACGCTACCATTGGGGATGGGGGGTTGTGTGACTGCAAGACTTGCAGGCATCCCCGAGCTAGCTTTGATCTCACGAGCGCGGGCACCAAAAGCAGTGAAGCCCAGAAGCATGGGTGGTACATGCCCACCTCAAATCCTGGGCAATTCCTTGGGTGGTTTGCCAGCCTGTACTAACACCCTGCTGCTGCAGCTTCGAGTAGACAGTCCTGGTGTATTGCCCCGCTAGAGCCCTAGGCTGGCTCATGGCGATCAGTAACTGATGCCCTGCGGCGTGGCCAGACTTCTCACTGCTACTGTATCCACCCTGAGCACTCCGTCCCCGGCTGTGCCGTGATACCCCCCGCAATGCAGTGCCCTCATCCTGCTGCCACTCTAGGTGCATCTTCGCTGCGAAGGCTGCCCTGCCGAGGCCCTCTGAGATAGCTGCCCCCACTTATCCCACAATGCACGGAGACAAAAGCCAATGCAGGCAGCGCAGTGGGTGTTGAACAGTGACACGTGGTTGGGGAAAAAAGGCTGCCCGTATGGACACACCTTGGCTGTGTTTGGTGTAATCAGGTCGGGGAGAGAGGGTCCCACCCTGGTAACAGAGCCATGGTTTGTCTCCTAGGGCCTAGCTGCTGTCCAATGTACGGATTTCACCCTGCACCTCTCACTGTTGATATCTATAGCGAGAGAATGGCCCAGGCCAGACGGCACTGAACTGCGTACAGGCTTTTGCTCTGGCCCAGCACAAGGTGCTAGGCTGGGATTTGGGGCAGGGCACTTGGCTTGCAAAGCTTCATCACCAGGCCCAAGCCCTGCAGCTCGCTAAGGCTGGGAGCAATAGGACGGGGGACCATGCAGTACATGCATCAGCACCGGGAGCAGCTTTCAATGGGCAGCAACTGGCTTTCACACTAGCAGGTGGGTAAATGTGGTGCCAGGCTTGTCCCTTGAGCAGGGCAAAGTACTGGGCAAGGGGCATCCGGCCTGTGCATTTTGTGCGCTCTCTCTCCCTGGCACTTACCAAGCCCCATGTTACCAACACAGCCCCAACCATGTAACCAGCATGTGGGCTTATCGCCTGCTGGCACCCAGCTGTGTGCGGCTGGAGCTCCCTTGTGCTGCAGCGATTTGCTGTGGGGCATGTGTGCGTGGCGGGGGATTTCGCTGCAAATTCTTTCCCCCTGCCAGGGGCACTGCTCGTTGGATGTCACTGTTGGCTAGTTCACAGCGGCCTTCGCTCGGCAGCATGCGCCTGTAGCTGGCTGAACGCTTGGGGCTTTTTGCTAACTAGCCTGGCCTGAGACATAGCAAGGTTCCTGTGAATTTCCCAGGAGCTTGGTCAGTTTCCTTGGCCCCATTATGCTTTGTCAAGGAAGTCGCTCCTTCATGTCCCTGGAGCGTGGCAAGGGTTGGGGGAGAGCCCATGGCACCCCCCCAGCGGAGCGATCATAGAACAGGCCACTTCCCCAGAGGCAAGTGCAGCTGAATTGCTGTACTGCTTGGCTCAGTGCTTAATGATGCTCATGGTGGCAGGGCCTGGTGCATTATCATTGCCCCATATACACAATCCCTACCATGCTAGTTACTGCCCCTGCTGATCGGCCCTCGCTAGACCCCTGAACTGTGTTCCACGCTGCCAGGCAGGCATGTGCATTACACAATGTTCCTGGTGCGGCCAGCCAGCCACATGTGCTACTTCGAGGGTGAACTCGCCCTCCTTTCTGAGCTAGTGCAAGGTTTTTGTACCTCCCCTGTTTGTGCAAAGCCCTTCGATACTTGTGAAAACAAACACACTGGAACTGAATGGCTGAGGCGTGGCAGTATGGCCTACTGGTTAGAGCTGGCACCTGGGTGTCAGGATGCCTGGCTGCTCTTCCTACCTTTGCCACTGCTTTAAGTGGGTGGCTTTGGTCAAGTCACCGCCCCATGCTGTGCCTCAGTTTGTTTATTTGGAAAAAGGAGCTCCTGATACTGACCCACCTCCGTCAGTGTGCATTATGTAACACAACAGAGCAGGCCGCTCATTGATTAAAAGAGATCGGAGCTTCATATGGCTACCAAGCAGGACCCGACAGGAGCAATTAGATCCTTAGGGATGTGGAGGAGGGGCATTCCTGCGGGGTTGCCCCTAACCAGAGCTCAGTCCAGACCATGCTGGGTACCAGCTGAGTGGAGAGAGCAGGGCATTTTTCTCACCCACAGAGCGGGAAAGGGAAAGAGGGAGCCAGGGCCATAGTTAGGCAGTGGGTCAGGGCTAAGAGAGGGGCGTTATGGAGAGGACAGACAGTGGCACATGTCAGAGAGCTGGCAAAGGCAGAGGAATTGTGACTGATGGAAAGGTAGGGGGATGATGCTATGGAAGCAAAGATGCCATGATGCTGAGCGGGGCAGGGGGACTTAGGACCTGCCCCAACCTAACCCCCAGTGGGGGAAAACCCACCCAGAACATGGCATCAGGGATGCTCTGGGGCACCTCACTAAGCCCTGTCTGTGTAATGGAGCCTTCTCCGCACAGGGTGTGCCTAACCAAGCTCAGGCCTGCCATCTCCTGGAGAGCTGTAGAATCATCCGCAGGTGTGAACCCATGGGAAGCTCTGAAGGGAGCGATCCTGCCGCTGGAGGCCAGGTTCAGGTTGAGGGGCAACAACGCGACTGCAGTTGATTTGGAGGCTGTTCATTATTTACCCGCAAGAGACTTGCCTGACCCAGAATCCTCCCTCCAGCATAGCTCACGGCTCACCTCTGCACCCACCAGCTGGCGCCTCTCCATGCTGTATTGATACGCTGGTATCAGCTCCTTCTCGAGACTGCGGCATGATCCCAGGGACCGCCCGGCGGCTCTCATCTTCTTGACCTGCTTTGCTAGCTCTTGAAATGCAGCAAGCGCATCACTGGTCGGCCCTCTAGGTGCGGGAACTATGGGTGCGGGGCGTGCTGCAGAACCCCCAGTTTTTGTGTGGGGTCCCGGCCGCAGGCGTTGCGCCTGGAGCGCCACTATTGGCCCCGCATGTGAGGTCCTGGCTGCAGGCCCCACACCGGGGGCTCTGCTCCCGCCCCCAGCTGTGGTTCCAGCCTCAGCCCCCTTACCCCTGTCTGCATCACCTCTCCCCCACCCCCCTCGTCCCAGCGCCAGCTCTGGGGAGAGGGGGCACAGACAGGGCTAAGGGGGACGGGTGCGAGGTAAAAAGTTTGGGGACCACTGGCTTTCAGCACCCCTAGTGTAAAAATTGTTCCAGCACCACTGTTTGGCCCTGCCACTGGAAACCTGCAAACACCACACGCAGCAATGCCGAGGGCCCGGGGCATTTCCAGTGCCCCATACAGAAGTTCATCAGCACCCTAGTTTCCGCCTCTGTTGCTCGGCTCTCCATTGCCCTCGAGCTGAGTGCCATGCTGGAATGCAGGGCGTGAGGCATCAATTAGGAACTGATGGGGGTTTTCTTTTATTAAAAGAAAACACAAAGACGCAAGACAAATAAAAATGTTCCTCTGACGTCAGATTTGCCCCTAGCAGCTGTTATTTGAGCCTGCTACGGAGATTATAAGTGCAATCAGTCGCAAGAGTATGCTGGCCCTGTCACATGAGCAGCCCTTGGAGCAGTGCCTGGGAAGGGATGGGTTAGTGCTGCGTGTGGGTGTTGTGAGCACACATCAGGCCAGGTCTGTGTGAAAGGAGCTGTGGGGTGTCACTCTGGTTCCTGAGGGACACGCGGCCACATCACTTGGCAGCCTCAGCTGAAAGGGAGCCCTTGAGGTGGTCTGTCCAGAGCAACCAGGAGGCGCAGGGTCGGGGTCAGGGGCCCTGCTCCTGCTGTACCACGTGCAGGGCTAAGGAGAGATCTTTGTTCTCCAGACCTGCCCCCGGCACCTTTTCCCTGCACCTGAGTCAACGAAAGGGCCGTTCTCCAGCAAACAACGAGGCCAAGCCCACGCTGAACTTGGTGTTCTGCAGGCTGTGCGACTCTCATCTCCAGCTGTGTCAC